GTAGGGGGGGTATGAAAGGAAAAGCAGCGCGGCTGGAAAATTTCCGATCATTCTTCGTCACTCGTCGCCAGTCCGGCCGCCGGAACAACATCCCGTCTTTTTTCCCTTTTTCTTTTTTTTTGAAAACAACACGGGCTTACTTACACCAGCTCTATCTTTAACGTATCAGACCGCATTTACGGCGGGATGCGTCTGACTGCAATTATGTCCATTCGCAAGTGTCGCTACCCGTAGTGCGCGTATGCACTTAGGCACGCTGAAAAAAAAAAAAAAAAAAAAAAACAATCAACGGCCGCCGGCCGTGAGGCAATTTCATTTTCATCGTGCCTAACAGCATACGCACACTATAGTATTCCCCCGAACACAACGCACCCCCATTTTGCCTGTTCGGGCCGGAAACATACCTTGTATACGTTCATTTTCAGGGTGTGTTATGTTCGGGGGAAGATGGTAAGGGTAGCGTGGGTAGGGGCCTAGCGGTGCGCTTCCGCCGGCGGTACGCCGCTTCGGACCGAGCGCAACCCGCTTAGTAACGAGTCTGTTCGACGTGCTGTCACCTGACACCACGGTAGTTTCTGTTTTTTTTGGTCTTTTTGTTTGTCTGGCGCCCCTGTAGTTTCCATTATTTTGCGTCGCGGCCGTCCCCCTCTGACCACGATTCAAATTTCCCATAAAACCCCGGCGTCGGCTGGGCCTCAATTAGTTTTGTTTTGCCCCTACCGGTACCCTTCCGAATTCGCAGTATGGCCCTACCGGATAGCCGTTGAGTACGAGCACCACAATTTTCCATATGCCACTACCGGTATAGTGCATGTATTCAGCGCACCTCTATGGCTACGCGGGTGGCGGCCACTTCATCTCTCTCTCTCTCTCCCTCTCACTCTCTCTCTCTCTCTCTCTCTCTCTCTCTCTCTCTCTCTCACACACACACACACACACACACACACACACAGTCATTTTTTGAGGCAGCGCCACAAAAACCATGTGCTTCTAATCCGAATTTGTGGCGCAAGGGCATGATGGAAAGATGTATGGGGCTCATGAGGGCATATCACACAAGGACAGGTGAAATGAGATTGGTCATCCTGTAAGGGCACCGCCAAAAGTAGCGCCGCTTGCTGACAGGGGCATGCAGAAAATTCAGAAGCCTCAGGGGCATGACAGGGTGAGTGGGCAGTCGGAGGGGCCCGGCGCAAAATATTGGAAATTGCAGGGGCACCATACAAATTTTCCGCTCTTTTTTTCTTTCTTCAAAGTCGGGAACCGGGCCGGTGTGTCCCTTATATTACAATGCCAAGAATTGGGCCTTGCATCCCTTACAAAGATTTCGCGGTCCTGTTTAAACCACCAGTACTTGGCCCAGCTATCGGTCGCGGGCCTTCCCCGTTAACGCGCCGACACCTTCAGGGGTCGGCCAAGGGAAGGCCCGCTGCTTGAAGGTTGGGCCCCGCTTCTTTCGGTACGACACCACAGCCCCACGAGAAGAAAGAAAGAAAGAAAAAGAAATCAGACACACAAAAAATAAAAAAGAAAGAAAACGAAAGGTAAAAAACAAAGTCGCACGCGCGCGCGTGAGAGAGAGAGAGAGAGACTCTCTCTCTCTCTCTCTCTCTCTCTCTCTCTCTCTCTCTCTCTCTCTCTCTCTCTCTCTCTCTCTCTCTCTCTC